GCATGACCTTGTAACAGTACAGGCCTAGTTCAGTTATAAAAGCTGTTTTTCTTTGTCGGCAAGGTCCATTCTTATCTGGTTATAGCTCGAGTAGGCGTCCAGGAAACTCAGCAACTCATGCCCTGAGGTCACGTCCACTAGGTAGTTAATCTTGGGGAGTGGGAAGCAATCCTTCGGACAAGCTCAGTTCAGGTCGGTATAATCGTCGCACACGTGCCATTTACCGTTAGCCTTCTTTACCAGGATTGGGTTGGCTACCCAACTCAGGTAATGAACCTCTCTGATAAAGTTGGCTGCGAGGAGCTTCCCGACCTCCTCGTCAACTGCTCTCTAGCGCTCTAGGGCTTGGTTGCGTTTCTTCTGTTTAATGGGCTTAACTACAGGATCAATATTTAGCCAGTGAGTTATGATGCTAGGGTCCATACCGGGCATCTCTGCCGTGATCCGTGCAAAAACATCTAAATTTTGAAGTAAGAAACTTACCAGTTGAGATCGCAGGGGCTCCTGGACTGAAGCGCCGATCTGGAGTGTCCGAGCTGGGTATCCGCCGAAGTGGGCACGAAAACAGTCTTTTCCGTAGGTGTAGCTCTCTCTTCGCATTGCTCCGTAGGTCACTCCAGCTCGAGGTCGTCGGCCACCTTGGCTTTCCCTTTGAGGGCGACGACGTAGCACTTGCGAGACTTGAGTTGATCGCCTCACGCTACTCCAACTCCGAAGTTCGTGGGGAACTTCATAGCCAAATAATAGGTGGAGACCACCGCATGAAGAGTATGGGTGATGGGCCGACCTATTATGGTTGAGCCTTACTATGCTAGGCCAAGTGCCGACCTCCACAGGTACTGTGATTCTTCCTAGGGGATTGACCTCCTCTCCGCTGAAGCCTACCAAGGGAGTACATGTGGGCTTGAGATCACTCTCTTGGAGCTGAAGCTTGTCGAATGATGCCTTGAAAATAATATCTACCGAGCTGCCGGAATCGACGAGGATATGCTTGACTTCGAAGTCATTAATCCTTATCTTCACGACGAGCGCATCATCGTGGGGGTAGTGGGTCCCGTGCGCATCGTCCTCAGTGAAGAAGATCAGTCTTTTGTCCTTGGCCGCTTCGAGGGGTTCTTCTCCTCCCTTCCGACCTCTCGAGCTGAAATCCGAGCTGCAGCCGAAGTGCAGCCTGCGACGATCGAACCTTCAACGATCACATGTATAGTGCCCCGAACTGGTCTCTCTTCGGGAGGCTGCCTCTGTGGCTGCTCAGCTTGCTTGCTGCTGGATTCGGGAGCATCTCTACCCTACTCCCCTTGCCGACCTGCCTTAATATTATTAGGTTTTGTACAAAATTCCTTAAGTATCCACGACAGATGAGCTCTTCTATCTCGTCACAGAGGTTCTTACAACTTTCGGTACTGTGACCATGATCTTTATAAGAACTACGATATAGATTCTTATTCCTTACATTGGGGTCCCCTTTCAGGCGGGTGGCCACTTCACATACGGGGTGTCTTTGATTGCCATGAGGATCTCGGACCGCTTCGCATTCAGGGGTGTGTAGTCAGTTCTTTCTGCTGGAGGGGCTCAGAAAGGTTGACCTGGTCTTGCCCCCCGAGCTGGATCTTTCTTCTTCTTATTGTCCCCATGGGTCGAGGGCTCAATTTCTCTTTTCCTCTTTTTAGGCACATTTTCATTCTTCTGGTTAATCTCCTCCTCTGTCCCTATGAACTGGTTCGCGAGTTTGAGGAACTCGCGGAGGTAAAGGACCTCCTTTGTCACAGTCTTAGGCTGGTTGACAACTACATGCCACTTGAACTCCTTGTGTGTTATGCCTCTCTTGGCTGCTGTGAGTCGCACTGCGGGGTCCAAGAGGGGTATCTGTTGGCAAGCATCATTGAACTACTTGATGTAGCTGCAGATAGGCTCCCCTTCTCTCTGGACTATGCCGAGGAGGCTTTCTTGGGTTCTCAAGCACCACTTGCTGGTGACGAAATGGGAGGTAAAGACTTGCGCGAACTGCGCCCAGCTTCTTATTGACCCGGGCGTGAGGTTCCTATACCATGTGCGGGCTACTCCTTTGAAGGTGGTGGAGAAGGCCACGCACATGCAGGACTCACTGGCCCTTGCCAAGTGCATTTGCGACTGGAAGGCGTCGACGTGGTCATTTGAATCGAACGATCCATCACACTTGTCCAAGGGAGGGACCTTGAAGTCCTTAGGCATGGGGACGACTAGAAGTTCTAGAGACAGGGGGGCGACACTGAGAGGAGCGGAGTGGCTTTCACTTCGTTTGAGCTCACCTCTTCCTTACCCTTGAGCTCGGGCAGGTTGTGAGTGGCAGTTCGGCGAGCTCGACGGCGTCTCCGCTACTTCGCTGGCTCGGCGTTAGAACTGCTTGCTTCTGTGTTGCCGAGCTCGATGGGCCCAAGGTGGGGCTCGGATTGCTGCTGATGATTGTGAACTAAAGGGCCTTGTGTATAGTCCACGGCCAGGACCTCAAACTGGTTCTCGGCGAACGGAAGCTCGAACTGTGAAGGCCGAGACGACACGGGTTTGACTGGCTGAGAGGCCCCCGACATGACTACAGGCTACGAGGTGGGGGGAGCAACTTGTCTTTCCCTCCTGCCATGGGATGAGACCTGGCTTTCGAGAGGGTTCTGAGTTTGGGAGGTCTCTCCTCGGCGGGGGAGACGCTCACTATGATGGCGGGGCTGGGCCTGCTGCGTACCGGGGTGTCGGGGCTGGGCCTGCTGCTCAAGCCCGAGGTTTCGAGGTGGAACATGCTGTTGATGCTGATGCAGCGGTGGAAATTGCTGCTGGTATTGTTGTTGGTAAACGTGGTGGAGCATTTGCTGCTAGTACAGCTGAAACTAGTGGACCTGCTGCATTTGAGCTTGCATAGCTCACACGCAGTGACCACCGGGAGAACTGATGGTTCTACAAATGTCGCCTCTACCGACGAAGGGAGTGGAGCACTTACTGGCGCCATGACCTGAGGCGCGCTCAGGGTAGGGACTCCATCCGTGGAGAGGGGTACAGTTAACTGGCCAATGCAGACGGTAGGGAGCTGAGGTCGTTCCCCGGAGGTGTTTTGGTCGGCACTTCGTCCAGCGTTGCTGGAGGAAGCCATTGAAATCTTACTGAAGTTGCTTGGTGAGAGGCTTTTTGAAGCGTTTCCCACAGACGGCGCCAAATGATGTAGCGCGATCTGGTCACTCCTAGCTGGCAGGGGCTATGCTCCTATCTAGCATTGGACGAGGTATCTGCAAGGAAGAAGGTAAAGGATTCCCGGGGAGCTCGCCCAGCGGGAATACTCCGATGCTTAATTTAGAACTCGGCGGAAAACTGTGAGAGTTGCGAAGGAATAAATGTTAAGAGTGAAGATGCGCGATTTTCGATTACCCTTTTCCTTGGGAGTTGGAGTCCTTGTATACTGATGCTCTGTCAAATCGGGTGTAACTGCCTCTGATTCTCTGCTACAGCTGTTACTCGCCAGGCTGATTCAGTTGATGCAGGTAACCGTCGCAGAGTATGGCCCTGTCAGTTGAGAGACGTTATGCAGAGCTGGCGTGCATGACGCCGCCTGACGTGAGACGTGGGCGTAGTCCTTTGGACTGGCAGGTGCTGCGCTGCTAGACAAGAGACATAGGAGCAATCTGACAGACACGGTCTTGTCGGGTAAGGAGTTTCCCAAAAACTTTGGGTTGCTCAATAATGAGCTCTTTTGTAGCGAGCTCCCTTGTAGCGAACTCCTTTGTAGTGAGCTGCCTTGCAACAAGCCATTTTGTAGCGAGCTGTAGCGAACTATTTTGTGGCAAACAGTCCTGCTGAGGTTTCAACGAGCTCATTACGCCGAATTGTGACAAAGCTGTCATGCTGAACTGTCATTTACGTCGAGTCATATCCACGTGTCCCCTGATTAAGAGGTTGGGTCAAATCACCCTCCATCACATATATGCATATATGCATATATATTCATATTGTTGTGTTGTTACTTGAATTCTCGTTGTGGCCAACTTTATGTCCTAATCTGCATTTGTGGAGAAATAGTGGTTTGTGATGGAAATGGAGGCCACAAGAGTAGTATGGATATGACATTTGGTTTGTACAAAAAGATAGAGAGATTGTTGGTATTGTGAATGAATCAAAATTAAAGTGTGTGGGGTTAAAGGTTTTTGAGAGAATACAATGAATTTTATATCTTCCTTCCAGCAGATGTAGCTAAAGCCAAATCACGTGATTCTTTAATTTTTTGTTGGTGTTTTTGTTCTTGTTTTTCTTTATTCTTTATCAAACTTTTTTGTGTCTTCAGTTTGTTCTACTGTAACATATTTATATTTATCACGGAAAAATCTATGTTGCCAGGAACACGTGGTACTTGAAGAGTTTTGGCTAATCCAAATCCACCCATGAATTTGAATAAATTCTACCTAATTGTTAAAAAGATTTATGATACCAATTGATGGATTACAAATTCTTCGGATATAAGAACACGTCATGCACAAGTTTGATGAGGTTGCTCAAGATTTAACCCTAACTCAACAGGGAGTTAAGTCAGGTCCACAGTTTTCTAATCCGGCCCAAATCGACCGAGTGGGTTCAATCTGATTTTCCATGGTTGTACTCCACATTTATTTATGACTCAGTATAACGGTCAAATAGAGTAAATGCCATTCCCACTTTGACGAGTTTACATCCCCACATTGCACATCCCGACCTTGTATTAAGAACATCTACCGTATTATACAAGGTCGAGATGTGCCGTGGGGCATTGTAGGGTGCCTCCTTCAGGGGCGAAGGTGTGAACACATCCAACAAATGCAGGATTCTCTCTCTCTCTGGATGGCATTTAAAAGAATCGCCTTCGTAAGCTTTTTATTTTCACCTACCAACCCAACTAACCATTTACATGCTCAATAATTCAGAATAAGTCACAGATGGTTGTCACCTCACCGTAGCCATTAATTGTCACCTCACCAGGGCTAAGGCGTGGCTCCTGGTTCCTTCAAAAAAAAAAAAAAAAAATCAAAATCAAAATTATTTATAGATTTCACGAGCGATTGTGGCCGGCCGGTTTTCCTATTATCATTGCATTACAGGAGGTTACACCACAAACAAAACCGTTTGAGATGTTGTATATTTAAATTCTTTGAAGCAGCAGCGGGGTGCATGCCTAAACTCATTAATCTTCAACCTGCAGACCGATCGAGATTCGATAAGTAAAGCATGGCTTCTAAACCAGGTCCCTTGACCAACTGGCCATGGCAAAAGCTCGGAAACTTCAAAGTATTTCATTCTTATTCTTCATTTTCTTTTCATTTTTCGGTAGCTTGTGAAGTTCGAAACTAATCTGATCAATTTCTTCTCTTTTCATTTTTATGGTTCAAGTATGTGGTTTTGGCGCCTTGGGTAGTACATAGCATTTATCAATTTGTTACCAAGGATGAAAATGAGAGGGACGTCGGTTACTTGCTTACCTTCCCCTTTTTGCTGTCGAGGATGCTTCATAGCCAGCTATGGATAAGCTTAGCTCGTTACCAGACTGCCAAAAGCAAGCACAGGATCGTTCACAAGGGTATCGAGTTTGAACAAGTGGACAGAGAAAGAAACTGGTAACTGGTCTCTTCTTCTTCTTCTTCTTCTCTCTCTCTCTTTTTCCTTCTTCTTTCTCTGAAATCATGAGCTTATTTGGCAGGGATGACCAGATCATTCTTAATGGAATTGTCAATTATATCATACCACAAATCTTTCCTGGAGCTTCAAGATTGCCAATGTGGAGGTGGGATGGCATATTTCTCGTCATACTCTTTCACGCTGGCCCCGTGGAGTTTCTCTACTACTGGCTTCACAGAGTTCTGCACCATCACTTTCTTTATTCACGCTACCATTCCCATCATCATGCCTCTGTTGTCACTGAGCCCATTACATGTAAGATCATTTCATACCATACATAAATACATATATACATGCATCAATAACAATGTACATATATGTACATGCTCTCAGCGTTATACATGCATATATGCATATTTTGGTACATATATTTTCTAATATAAATGTCCATCAGGAAATAAGGGAATACAATGATGGAAGATGACCCACCTTCAGATAAGGGGCCCTCTAGATTTGATCATGATCACCATCAGTTCAATCTCATAGTCCATACCAACAATATAATACGCTAAATTAATAAAAATGTTTGTTTATTTGTCTGTGTTAGTTATTTCTTCTGGGTGTTTTAATAAGTACATGATGGGGGTGAGAGGGGTGCAAAAGTTTGTATTTCATGGTAGGATTATTTATTAATTTAAAAAGAATCTTCAAACCAGAACAAAACATCCGGAATTTAGTGAATTCAAAGATAGGACGTAAGGTTTGACCCAACCCGCATGGCTATTAGGTAGCATTCCTCCTTTCTCATTCAAACCAGAAGGTGGGGTAGGTGAGAATGCAAATATCATAATTCATAATAATTATTTCCTTTGCCATTTATTCTTGCTGTCGTATATTACAATCATCCACGTGGCACGGTATCAGGGGTGTTGGTGTTAGTCGGGCATGCTGGGCCAGGTTTAAGGTCGATCCAGACCCAACCCAAAGAACTGGGCCTAAGGCCTGAGCTCGGACTGAGCCCAAGTCAAATTTGATCTCCAACCCAAACTGAAATTTGACAATACTCGGTTCGATTTGGGTTATGATCTCGGGTGGTCAATCAATCTCAGGCGGGCCTATTAAGCCCACTGCATTAAATGGTTATAAAAACTCTTTTTTTTTTTTTTTGTTGAAACAGGCAAGATGTTATATATATGTATGTTGTGTCTGCGTATACTCAGGCCAGGTTCAAGCTTCTTAAAGCCTAAGCCTGGTTCCATCCCAAAAAGGTTGAAAATCACAATGTTTTGGACCTACACACTACACCCAGCCTAATAACTGAAAATCCAAGCCCATCCTATGCTGAATCAATCCAAGCTCAGGTTGGATTCACCGAGATCATATCCCTAGTTTACATCTCCTATGACTGCGGTCGCAGCATTCCCTTGTAACCCCAGTGAAACACAGGCACTCTAGCATTGGAAACTAAAAAGCAGCTCAAAGTGATGCTTGTAATTTAATTCCATCACTGGTCTGTTCGTATTTCATTGGGAGGTTGCAGGGGAGATATGCTCACGGATAACTGCTTCAACTCTAAAATGGGATTGAATCCCACATTATTGGTTCTGATTTTTTTTTCTTTCTTATTCTCTTTTCACCATGTCTTTGACCCGATATTCGTTAACCAAATCGATCCATGTCTTTGACCCCAATGTTCGTTAACCATATCGATCCTATATGGCTCCCTTTAGGAAGAGTGTAAATACAAAATTGTGCAATATAAATACAAAATATGTCTGATTCATAAAAATACAAAGTTGGTTTAATTTTATAATGATAATTTTATACTCTTGTCAAATATTTTTAGTTGTGATATATACAAATACAAATCCCAATACTGGAATCTGCCTTTTTTTATATTGACCAACATTGAGTGTAAAGTTTGTTCCTCATTTTAAATGCAAATATGTGTTGAAATTTGTATTTATTATTATTTTCAAGATACAATTACATTCTTACCAAATGCCAGTAAAACTGAACCAACATATACATATAAATGGAATAAATTAACAAATTCTTAAAACCAGTGATTTTATTCATCCATCAGCTTTGACTTTAGATGAAAAAATTAAAAGCAAATATTGAAATAAGCTTTACCAGTGAACAAATTTTTGAATTTTCCAAAGCCAAATAGTAGAACAGCTGGTGCAAATATAGGACGAAAGTACGTAGGATATCATTCATACAGACGAACACTCTGTACTTAAATCTTACTCATATATATATATATATAACTTCCCTCTAATTTGTTTTCTGCTTGTGGCAGCTGTGGTTCATCCATTTGCAGAACATTTGCTTTATTTTAGCCTGTTCTCAATCCCCATCATGGCCACGGTATTTACTGGGACAATCTCGCTTGGAGCAATTGGTCTGTATTTCACTTACGTTGATTTCATGAACAATATGGGGCACTGCAACTTCGAGATGGTGCCAAAGAGGCTTTTCAGCATCTTTCCCTTTCTCAAGTATCTCATGTATACTCCATCGTAAGTCTAAAAACCCTTAAACCTTTCATTTTAGACTACTAAACATTCTGATTTTGAAACAATTCACAACGTATTCTATTAATATCATTATATGTAGCTTGAACGTCCAGTTTAATTATGTATATCTTTGGTAATGTGGGTGTTCATAGATGGGCCATTTATTGCTTTAAACGTTTATTTGTGCAACTTTACTTTAAATAATTTTTTTTTGTTTTTATTGTTCGGTTGGTCATTACTTTAAACAATTTTTATTTTTTACCTCAGACTAATATCCCATAAAAGTGTGCCACATAAGCATTTTATTTTAAAAAATGTTGGGGTATTGGAGAAAACAAGAATTTAATTTTTCTTAAAATCCAAGCATTTATGATTTTTAGTGTTTATTTAATAAACGGTGAAACCAAACAGTGGTTTCATGCACAATTAATGCCAACACACCTATGTGGTGCTGATGTGGTGACATTTATGTTAAATTTTAGTTTGAAGTGACCAATTAACCAGACTAGGGGTGTCAATTGGACTGGATTTAGTCCAATCCGATCCAGTCCAATGTGAGTTCATTATAAATGGACCAGGTCCAATCCAATCCAATGAATGTTTTGGATCAATTTGGACCGGTCCAATTCAATGTCTGGACCACCCAATCTGTTCAATTTCATTTGGATTTAGATTGGTTTCAACCCAAACCCGATCCATTGGCACATATATTCTTATCTTATATCAATGGACCAGATATTGGCTTAATCCAACCCAATTCAATATAAATTTGTTATGGACGAATCAGGTCCAATCCAATCTAATAAATATTTTAGATCGAATTGGTCCAATCCAATATGCCTTGTTGGTCCATCCAATCCATCCAAATTGATTTTGGACTGAACGGGATCCAATCCAAAACCAGTACTCCATTGACACCCTTAAACCAGACTAACCCAACCTGCATGCATCAAATTTCAGTGTGAACTGAGTTTGGGTTAAGCAGATTAAACATAACCTCAGGCTCGATCCAACTTCGAGTCTTGGACCCAATTCTTATAGTTGTGCCTGGATTGAGCTTGAACCCGGACCAGACTGCCCTACTTGTACCCTTACCCATGTTATGGAAGCTTGATTTCTAATTAACATGTAGAGAATTAATTAATGTTTAATCCAACACAGGTTCCACTCTCTTCACCACACAAAATTTCGAACCAACTACTCGCTCTTCATGCCTATATATGATTACATGTATGCCACCATGGATGATTCCTCTGATACAGTGTATGAAACTTCACACAAAGGACAGCAGGAGACACCACATGTAGTCCATCTAACACATCTGACTACGCTAGAATCCATCTACCATCTACGGCCAGGATTTGCTTCATTAGCTTCCGGACCCTACACTCCAAAATGGTATCTATGGATGTTATGGCCTGTGACGTACGTGTCCATGTTGTTTGCATGGATCTCCAGTTCCATCTTTACTGTGGAGAGGAATCTGTTTAATGAACTCAAGATGCAAACATGGGCGATACCAAGATACAGTTTCCAGGTAATTAAGAAGCTTTGCTCTCTCTCTCTCTCTTTAGTTCATATAGTTTGTGATATTTGTTATCATGCATTGATTAGATTTTATTTTACAGTATTTGTTTTCTTGGAAAAGAGATTCAATCAATGGTTTGATTGAGAAAGCTGTACTGGAAGCCGATGCAGGAGGTGTCAGGGTGTTGAGTTTGGGACTTCTAAACCAGGCAAGGTTCTATTTTCTTGTATTGGGGGATTAAGTCTGTCAGTATTATATCTATCAAAAAAGAAGTGTGTGAGTATTAATTATTGCATAGAACTTTAATTAAAACATGATTTTTTTAGCTTTAGCCATAAAACATAGATTAGTATCATGGTTTTGGAAATCGGACCGGAAATGGAATTGCTTTGACCATCGGTTCTTACGTCAAACGGTTCAGCCATTCAGTCCAAATCCCGGTTGAAGAGTTTTGGGGTCTATAATCAGATTCGGAGCCATGTCCGGTTTGTAAATCAGCTGATTCGACTGTCCAGTCTGATCCTCTGTTGTATGTCAAATTTATGACCAAAATCTAAAGCTAAAAGTCATTCATTTTCTTAAATTCATTCAGTAGGGTGTTGATATCTACAGTAGAAATTTGTTAATACTGACATTTAAGAAGATTTGTGCTGCACAGGGAGAGGAATTGAACGGAAATGGCGAACTGTATGTCAAGAAACACCCAAAACTCAAGATTAGACTTGTGGACGGGAGTAGCTTGGTGGTTGCTATTGTTCTTAACACCATACCAAAGGGAACAAAACAAGTACTTTTAAGAGGAAAGCCGTACAAAATTGTTAGTGCCATTGCCCTCTATTTATGCCAAAAAGGGGTTCAGGTACATTGTCTTTCTCTTCTAATGAAAGCCTACAAGTGATATGATCGAAACTATTTTGTGAATAGTAGCTTACGTAAGATATGGGTCAGACTGGACCAAAATAGGGAATAAGGGCTTGTTTTGTTCTGGGAGCTGTAGTGTGGTGTGTCCTGATTAGAAAAATAAGTTTCTGCACTGTGATGTAAGGGTGTCAATGGACCCGCTTTGGATTGGACCCTGTTCAGTCTAAAATCAATTTGGATGGATTGGACGGACCAATAAAATATATTGGATTGGATCAATCCGATCCAAAATATTTATTAGATTGGATTGGATCTGGTCCGTCTGTAATAAATTCATACTGGATTAGGTTGGATTAAGCCAATATCTAGTCCATTGATATATATAAGAATATAGGTGTTAATGGATCGGGTTTGAGTTGAAATCAGTCTAAATCAAAACAAATTTAAATAGATTGAACGGTTCAGATATTGAATTCGACTGGTCTAAAATATTCATTGGATTGGATTGGACCTAGTCCATTTATAATGGACTCACATTGGACTGAATCGGATTGGACTAAATTGAGTCCAATTGACACCCATACTGTGATGAGGAGCAAATAAGAGATAAACACAGATGAAGGGTGTGGTGCATTTGAGAACATGATAAATTAATGTGTCTGGACTCAAATAAGATTTCTTGCCCATTATTCTCTAGCTAGTCTCTACCTGCCTTGAATTGCAGCCACACATCCCAATCTTGTATTGTAAGATGTGAAGCTGTAGTTTATTGTGGGTAGCAATGTTTTAAAACCATTGTTGACTTGGATGGTTGGACCATTCTCCTCGAGAACTGTCCAAGCAATCAGTTCTGTTTTACCCCAAACCTGGTCCCTGGCCAAAAATCGTTGAATTGGTCAATAACTTGTTGATCCGGGTGGTCGAACCATTGACCCATTCAATGGTTTTTGGCCTTTTTTATATTTTAATTATTTTTTTTATTTTTCTAATTTTGTGTAAGAACAGGTCATTTGTTCGAACCGAACGATTGAACCATTGACCTAAAAATTGGTGGCCAAAACGGTTTTGGTTTTGGGCCGTTTTTTAAAACATTGGTGGATAGAGTGCATGTAGAGAAAGTGAGTAGGAAATCCAAGTTTGTCTAGACTAGCACAAGATTTTACATTCTAGAACCAGCCACAACTTGTTTTGGTACGAGATACACCCCTAAAAGGACATGTTTTGCTGTGACTCATTCTAGAATGGGTTCAAACACACCAAAACAACTTTACCAAACACAACCTAAGATGTTAAACAAAAAAAAATGTAGAGGTGCAAATCCAGTCATGTTGGTCTAGCATGGCACAACCCGCGTACAGCCCGTGCCATGTCGACATGCGGGCCGAGTCGGGTCGTGGTTCTCTCCCCTAGGATACTTCGGGGGGTTGGCCTGGCATGGCCCATGGCCCAAGCATATGCTGGGCTGGGCCGTGCCACAGGTTGCAAGTCGTGCCATGGGCCTAGCCCATGTTAGACTGGGCTATGGGTTGGGACTTGGGCCTAGGCTGGATCGGGCCAAGTTGTTTTTTTTTTCATTTTGATTTTCTTTTATATTTTTTTGCTAAATAAACACTAAAACTAAAATACTTCACTTTCCGGAACAAATTGGAAAAATAAAAAATCTAACAAAGAAATGAAAAAAAATACTTAAATACTTAAAATACAAATTGGACAACAAATTGGAAAAAATGGGAATTTTATTTCTTGAATTTGAACAATACAATGGTCAAAGGACGAATGAAATATAGAAAATGGAATACAATATAAAAAATATAATACAATTATAAATTGAAAATAAAAAATTACATTATTGAAAAATAACAACTAATTTAAATAAAATAAAAAAAATACAATAATTTTAAAAATTGAAAAAAAATACAATAATTGAAATATTGAGTATATATAAAAAATAAAAAATATATTGACTTCATCATTTTTCTTCAAGTTCCACATAGATCTTCATCTCCTTGATTTTCATCATCTACTTCAGGTGAAATATTAGGTGTAATGTCATGTCTCCTTTGTCTTGTAATTTATTCTCAGCATCCAACCAATCTTTAAGGCCGAAGCACATCTCTAGACTTTCATCATTCATGCAGCCTCTCTTGTCGTCCAACACCCTAGTACCTACACTAAAATAAGACTCCGTGGGAATTGTATGCACCAGAAGGGTTAATAGATCATATGCCATGGCGGCAAGGACTAGATAGTTTTTCATGTCCTCTCCACCAGGCTAAAATATCAAAATTATCTCGTTCCTTCGAGTTGAAAGAATCAATTAAAGTAGAAAAACTTGCCTATAAATAAAAATTAAGTTCAGTAAATGAACTTGTTGATGAAGTGGTTGTAGATTTCTGCCTCTTACATATTAGAGACCAAATTTCGTCTTTTCCACTACTACAACTAGCTGTTTTAGAAGTGGAATTTGCACCTGTACTAGATGTCCTATACCCTACCACTCGATATTCATATAAACTATACATTTCAAATAATATTAACTTCTTCTTTTTTATTTCCAATTTCAATATTCATACTTTCACAATATGATTCAAGTAAAACTTCTAAATCATCTTTCCTAATCCTATGATCTAATATTGTAGTTAAGCAATAAATGAGAGAAATTTTCTCCTAATATTTTTAAAATTTATTTTCCATTATTTCAAAAATACTTTGAAATTGTGGATTTTGTTTTTCTATATTTTGCAAAACATTCACTAATCATAAAAAATTGATTAACTAAAAGACAACTAGTTGAGTAATAAACACAAAAAAAAATTCATTAGTTACATCATAAAAATTTTGTAAAAACTCTTTTGTACAAATTGTCATTTCCCAATCTTCCTCAAGTACAATATCTTGTGGCATTTTTGTATTATAAAAATCAGTAAAAATTTGTTTGTAAGAAATACAACTTTCTAACATAGAATAGGTAGAATTTCATCTATGTTGAACATTTAATACAAAATGTTTATATTTTAAACCATAGTTTTGACATAAATATTTAAAATCTTGTTTTCTTGCTCCAAAACTTTTAGTATCTATTATACAATTTTTAATTTTAGAAATATGATGATAAATAATATTTAAAGCATCTTGAATATATATATATATATATATATATAGCCTCCCCCACTTTCTCCAAAATATCTCTAATTCCTATTTATCCTTTCCCCTACTTTTTATCTATGTCTACCTAAATAAAGTTTGGATTAAAAATTTAATAATTATTTAAATATTCTAACAAAATTATATAATAACTTTAAAATATTTATTTAAAACACAAAAATAATTTTATACTTTTAAAAAATATCACGAAATTATGTACTAACAATTTAAATTACATTTTTTTGGATTATCAATTTAAATGTTTTCCAAATATTTAATAATATGCAATAGATTTAAATAAATAAAATTCAAATAACAAAAAATTTAAATATTTTATAGATTATATTGAAATATTTAAATAACTAAATATTTATCATAACTGGATTTTAAATAGTTAAAATAACAAAATTATGTAATAAATTTAAAAAATTTCTTCAAAGTAGAAAAATAATTATAACTTAATATTGAAATTAATAATAATTTAATATATTATAAAATTAATAATGAAATTATGTAATAATAGTATAAATTATGATTTTATAGATAATTAAACCCAATAAATAATTAATATTTTAAAGTTTAAATATTTTACATATTATTTAAGTATTTAAATAACAAAATACTTAACATAACTAGATTGGAAAAAGTTAAAATAAAGAAATTATGTAATAAATTTAAAAAATCTAAAAAGTAGAAAAATAATTATAACATAATATTGAAAGTAATAATAATTTAATATTTTTACATAATATTGTAAATAACTAATTTCACTTATATCAATAATTATTTATTGTTTTTTGTGATAAATGCATTTTCATTGACTATATATAAACTTATTTTGTTTTGTTATTTAATAGAAAACTTTCAATAATTGTTGGAGATTAAACTACTGTTATTGAAAATTTTAAATTTAATTTATTGCACTTATTGTATTTATTGTATTTCTCTTATAACTTATTAGAGATTAATCTAATATTTGAGATTATACTATTTATTGACTAAGTTAATATATTTTTAGTACTTATTATATTTTTTTCATTATTAATATATTTTCAATAATTGTCTATTTCCACTATAAATTTTCAATGACTACTAGATATTAAACTATTGTTATTTATCAGAGATGAGACTATTAATTTAGTTGAAATTATGAGTGTTCATGAGTTGGTTCAGTTTGGTCATAGATGAGACTGTTAAACCAAATTGACTTGGTCAGGTTGGGGAGTTGGTAAGCTAAAACCTGTTGGCCTTTTGTGAAAACCAACCCACACAAGTTGTACCAGTTTGGGTCAATTTTTTGGTTTGGTCAATCAGTTGAAAAGATTTAAACTTAAAAATTAAATTTAAATTTGAAAATTATAGTGCAAGTATTAAAAAATTAGATTTATGATATAAAACATTTTAGACTAATAAATATGGGAAATTTCCCACTTTTCCGTATTAAAATTATATTTGAAATATAAAAAATTAATATATATCCATGGTTAGGTCGTTCAATTTTGGTCGGTTTTCAAATGGCCAAAGTGAAATTGATCCAACTTGGTCGAATTGGAAAAGTTTTGAACCAAAGCCAACCTAAAATACTAGAAAACTGACCAACTCAAGTCGACTTGATCGGTTTCATCAGTTTGATGAATAAACCTAACTAAAATTAATTATTGTTATTTTTGTATTATAAAAAATTTATTAAAAGTAGTATATAAAATATGAATAATTATTAATTATTTAAAATTTTGAAAATGTAAAACAATTGTATACTCTTATGTGTTTCTATTAGGGTCATTTATTAGAACACACCTTATAGTTTTACATATTTACTTACACCTACCTTATAATTTTTATTTTACTAAAACATCCCATATATCTTACAACTTATTTACTTAATTAACATTTCATTAAGGAGTGTTTGTTTAGCCATTAAACCTATGAATTTTATTCTAAAAATACTCCTAACACTTTTTTGTACAGAAAACAAAATTGACCAAATATAGCCAATAGAGTGGTTACCTGTGTCTTATTAAGGGCAAAAATGATATTATTATTTTTATTTTCTTTTGGTTATACTTATTTAAATGAACATTAGGGTTAACACTATCATTTTCCACTGTCATCTAATGAAAGATTGATTAAATCCATTACAAATTATAAGTGGTTTTTAGTAAAATGCTAACTATAGGGTATGTTTTATTAAATCCACGAAACTATAAGGGGTATTTTAGTAAATGAGTCTTTCTATTATTTAGCTTTCGCTTAATAAGTCCTATGCACCACACGGGTCCCCACTAGTACATAATTTTAAGATGTGACATGCACATCTAATATGAAATAATTTACCATTTAAACATTGTTTTAATTGAGATTTTAAAATATTTATTGTTGAATCATTATTATTGGTATTATCAAAACTAATAGAAAAAAGTTCATTTTTAATTCCATAAATATGTAAAGTATTTAAAATATGTGTAGCAATAATTGGGCCAATACGTGACCATTCAAGCCTAGTAAAACTTAAAATCCTTTTATGTAAAAACCATTTTTCATCAATAAAATGACCAGTAACACAAATATATAACTTATATTAAACCTAGATGTCCAAACATAAGAAGTAATTGCAACTTTAGAATTAAGATTTGATAACATAGAAATTATGTTTTGTTTATATGAATAAATAATTTTAAATTATATGTTCTAATAGTATTTCTAGAAACTTTTTTAAATTGTAGATTTACAGATCTATGTAAAAATTTTTCAAGTTTAGTATCTTCAATTAATAAAAATGGGTGTTCAACATGTACAATATATTTTGCTAACTCTTGACTCATTCTTTCTTGCGAATATTTAAAAGTACCAAAAATCTCACTTCCTATTTGTGCTTGTGATGTTTCTTTCCCTTCTTTTATCATATGGTGTCTCAAATGTTTTCTCAAGTGAATGGTACTACCATTACTATTGTAGCTAAATTCACTCCTACATTTTTGACAAACGACTCTCTTTCCCTTCCCCTTAACCTCTATTTTTGTCCGAATTGGGCTAATCAACCTAGTGTTCTTCTTTTTCTTTCCCCTACTTCTAGTAGCAGTACTAGTGGTGGGAATGTCAGTAATATCAATAACATTCATATCAGCGCTAGCACTATCATATTGTGACTGAACATCGACATTGAGCACGTTAGGGAATTGGCGTCAAGAGCAAGAGGAGTTGACCATTTTTTTAATTATAAAAAAATAAAAATTAATTTAATTGCACTTAACCAGATTGTTGGTTCAGAATCTCAACTTTATTTCAACGGTTGAAGCCTCTAAGTCTACAAAATTGCTAACTTGAGATATCCAAGCAAGTCTTATTCTTGTTGAAACTTGATTCAAGTTGAGAATTAGAGAGTAGAGAGAGTATGAGAGTATATGTGAGAGTGTGATATATGAGGGATTGAGATTTAAGAGAGTATAAGAGAGTATGAGAATTGGTGTCATGAGAATGGTGGAGGATAAAGCTATTTATAGGAACTAAAAATAATTTAATTCCCCAAAATACCCTAAAAACTAGCCATTTTTTAATTGTTGTGAGGGGTATTTTGATCATTGTAAAGTAATTTTTCACTTTACCTAAATACCTCATTGAACTAGTTGTTATATAGTTGTTGGGGGGCATTATTGTCATTTTATCTCCCCCAAGCCAAAATACATAAATACCCCCCTATATAGTTGTTTATAGCTATTGGGGGGTATTTCTAGAACCCCCCCAAAAAAGTTGAAACTAGTTATTGGGGGGAGGGAGTCTCTAATGACTAGTTCTTTGGGCGAGCTACACTCGGCCCACTACGGGCCAAGCCATGCCATGTGCTGGGCCATGTTAGCCCACGGGCCACAGGCAGCACAATATGACCCATACAATCGTATCATGCCCAATACAGCCCGTGATCCATCATTTCAGGCCGGGCCGGGCATTACAACTTTAAAAAAAGTAGGGTACATACCTTTGGCCTAGAAAACAGGCTTAGGCCCGACCCTACTTAGATCCACTAGACTCCACCAGTGAATCTAGCTAGTTATTTGTATTATTTATATTTAAATTTTAATTTTTTTAGAGAAGTATGCATTTAAATTTTATTACACAGTTAAACCATAACATGTTGCATCAACTTAAAAAATTAATATAATATTACACTGAGCCAGAGGGACCGAATCAGAATTTTAGATTTCTAGCCCAAGCCTGGACCACAATTAGTCCTACAGTCTGTGCTTGGCCTGTGTTGGACTTTTACACATTAGATCAGTCTAAGCCCGAAACTACCCTAGACTAGTTGGGCCATGATTAACCCCTAACTTGATATCATGAATGCCATATAACTGTGCTTTATACTCTTCACGTTTGAGAGGCAACTAGTGATCAATGATCAAAATGTCAATACGGCCAAAGTCCAAAATTGGGTATCGATGCAGGTAAATATCACCAATGCAATAGGTGAGAAAAATCTTTAAGTCATTATATACCCTATACAATATTAAATTTATTTTTAGTTAATATTTGTTTCTAAGTCATTAAATTTAGTTTTAAGGGATTGGCTATATCGATCCTATTTTACCATTCTGTTTTGTTTAATGCCATATTCATTGCGACATTATGAGTGCAAAAATCATTTTTACTACTGAGACCCTTGTCCTTTGATCTACTCCAAACCCTTTTATCTCCTTCAAAGACATAACTTGGGACACCGCACCATGAACAGGTAGCTGTGGCATGCAAGGATGATCTTGAGAAGCTTAAACTACGACTTCCTAAGGAGTTGTGGAGTAACTTGAGCCTTTCAAGTAGTTACTCCCAAAAGGTATGTACCAGTGTTTTCAAGTAGATAGATAGATAGATCATAAATGGTGGAAGGGGGAGGATTAAACAAGTTGTTAGATCAGTTGAACATCCAGCACTGCACTAGTGCAGGTATGGTTGGTGGATGAAGGAGTTATAACAAGTGAAGAGCAGAGGAAGGCACCAAAAGGAACTCATTTTATTCCATTCTCACATTTTCCACCGAAGAAAGTGCGCAAGGATTGTATTTATTATAACACACCGGCCATGGCCATCCCCAAGGCTTTTGAGAACGTCCATTCATGTGAGGTTGGTTGAGCATCATACACATTCTAATTCAAGCTTATACATTGCAATCAATTATTCTATATTGGTGCATTTGGAACTTCGTTTAATTTTCATCTCTCTCCATAAGCTGTGGAACTGTACTTTGGGCTCAGTCTGGTAAGAGTTGAAATACAAATATATACATTGCAAATAAAAGGTTTAGAAATACCATATAGAAGCTTTTTCCCTGAATATATTTGTATTTGCACTCTTTCCAAACTGAGCCTACAAATACAAATATAAATAGAGTGTAAATTCTTGTATTCTGTATATGTATTTGTATTGTTCATGTTTGTATTTTGTATTTCGAAGGGTTTTACACTCTATATATTTGTATTTGTACTATCCATGTTTGTACTTGTATTCTTTCCAAGGCTCAGTTTGAGAACAATACAAATACAAATATGTACATAGTGTCAAACCTTGTATCTTGTATTATTTTGCATTCCTAACTGATGCAAACTTTGCAGTTTTTGTTTCATTTGTATTCATTGGCAATGTAAAATTTGCACATAAGGCTCAGTTTGGAAGCAGTACAAATGGAAATATGTACAACGTAAATACATACAAAATATAAGGTTTTGTACTCTACGTATTTGCATTTGTACTCCTTACAAACTCAGCCTAAAGCTGTGTTTGATTGCAGTACAATTTTATTTGCACCAGTGCAAATGCATGGGAGTGCAAAATGTAAAAAATGCAAATTCTTGTTTACTTCATTTGTACTGCAATCAAACAAAATAAGCTAAAATTTGAAACAAAAATAGGTTAGAATTTACACTCAAATCATTTGCACTATCATAATTTTACATCAATGCAAATTTATTTGCATTGCAAAATGCAATACAAATATATCCGGTACAAAACCTTGTATATATGGTATTTCCAAACCTTGTACATATTTGTATTTACACTCTTTTCAAACTGAACCTAATTAAAAGATTGATGCAAAATTTGCACCACATTACTCTTATCTTCATTCAAAGAAAAAAGGGAAGACCTCAATTTGCTTTGTCCTACCATATTAATTCCTCCCGAATAAATAACCTACCTCCTACCTCCTCCATTCTTTAATATAAAGTGGGGTATTACAAGGAGGTGATAGCCAAGACTGAAGTGGAGCTTAGGTGTTGTTTTAGGTTGCAGAGAGAGCTGCATATGCAACTGAGCTGTTTCTGATGATGAATTGCACCATTGACACTCCCTCTTAGAGGTAATTGAGTTATGTGTTTATGGATGATTGCAGAATTGGTTGCCAAGGAGGGTGATGAGCGCATGGCGTATAGCAGGAATAGTGCATGCATTGGAAGGATGGAAAGAACATGAATGCGGGGAAACCATGCTTGATGTGCACAAGGTATACGTTGCGGCTCTGCGTCATGGCTTCCTTCCTTTGTCCCCCCAGTCCCCACTTTTCACATCTCTTAATTAATTAAGAGTTATTGGTGTTTGTTGGGTGTGAAATAAATTAGGTACAGATGTATCAATGTATCATTCATAAAACATTGAAATGTATTTACTAATATTTGACCATTGACCATGGCTTTTGAAATTAAACTTATAAGCGATTTATTATTATTATTTAATATTTATTATACGTATATCTACTTATCATTATTACAGTGCTAGTTTCTCTAAGAATTAATGCATCTCAATTTACATTGCTTCATCTTGGGGCTCATTCAAATTTTGACAAAAGCTCAACCTGAACCGGCTCAAGTTGCAAACTTAGAAACCAGTAATAACTACATAACTAATGGAGTAATCTGTAAATTCAATTATTTTAAAAGGAAATGAAAGAAAGAAGGAAATGATAGATATTAAAACAACATCACCCATATATATAAATATGAAAATTTAAGACTTTCATTATCATTTAAGCCTTATCCCAACTGTGTACAGAAAGACTAATTAAATTATGAACACTTAAATCATGCATCTATTACACTTTGACCCTTTTGTTCTTCCTAACTTTGATTCTTTGAAATAACAATATAACTTCCTATATATTCGATAATTTAGCCAACAAAAGCATTAATCAAGTAGTTGAGTTGATCACATGACATCCCGACAATTGAGAGACCCCTCAAAAAAATGTGAATACGTGCCATAATTTGCAATAGATTAAAGGCATCACATCAACAGATTTTTATTTCAAGTGCTAGTGTGTGTGTGCACATTTCATTGGAGGTCACAAGGAAATGTTTTCAACCAACGTACAATGGACAATGTAAGCCAATCATAAATGATGCAATTACCACGACCAAGGTTCAAAGAATTGATAGGTTAGGTCTTGTATCGAGCGTACCATATCGTATTTTTCGACATAACTATTTAATGTTGTTTCAGGAACCTATTTATTTTATTTATTAAATAATATAAAATTAATAGAAATAAAAGGTGCATTGTATAAATCATTGATACACTGAGATGTATGATATATACTTTGAACCATGCTTAGATCATTTATGACACTAAATCTGCTACAAACAAAACTTGTACAATGGGCTACATAATTCATATTCACAAATAAACACATCAATTATTGTTAACCGTATTTATAGATGATGTGTTGATTCATGATTGGGCTATGTAACCTGTTATATGCATCTTGTTTATTATAGCAGATTCCAAGGCAACCAAGGTTCAAAGTATTGGTGTCGAGTATTATATCGGTAAACTTAGATATAGATACATATACAAATATACTTTAGAAATACATGGATACATTGGGAAAATTGATATAAATCTCACAAATACATCAATAACACTAATTTTAAAGTTAAAATAACCATAGATAAGGTATAAAAACATAAGAAACACACATTTTAATGATATGGTATACACATGAAGAAATACATTACAATAGATATAGTGGGATACCTAGATATCATACAATTTTATTGATAAATAAAATATGTTATTATTTTTGTAAATTTTTTTGTAAATTTTTTGATAAATAAAATATGATACCTAGATATCATACAATTCTCAAATATTTTTTGTAAATTTTTTTTTGTCAATGATAAATATGTTATTATTTAATGTAAATTAAAATATCAATTAATCATTTATTATCAATGATAAATATCACATATGAAAATTCATAAGTTTTAATTATAAAAAATTATTCTTATTAGTATTTTTATTCATATAATTTTTTGAGACTAAAAACCAAATTTTGATATAAATGTGGATTTAATCGATTATTCATTTATTAATGTTTAAAAATACTAATTCAAGTCACATTTGCCTTTGGAATTTTTTTAATAAAGAAATTTATGACTAATTCGAAGTTTCCAATAGCATATATCTATGTGATAGTGCATATCAGACCAATACAATGTGATGCAACATAATACTATTGACGCACAAAAATGTACCCATTAGGCATCTAATGTTTGTCCATTTGGATAGAATGATTGAACCCAAATCTCACAAAAAATTGTGTATACACCCTTAGATCTCAACATTCAACCACACATGAAAATCGCATCCCAAAATAGTTCCTACGGATAATTGTTACTGAATATAAATACTACTTATAAAAGTATAAGTGCAGTCTAAATTTCTGAAATTTTCATTGGACAAATTTTGCCCCTTCAACTTAAGTTATCTAAGGGGTAAATTTGTATTTTGATAAAACTTTATTAAGATGGTTGAAGTTGCATTAATCATCTATACTACTTATTAAATGACTGAGGGCATGAAACTTTTTTTGACTAAAATACCCATATTGGTGAATTTAGTCCATAACTAATTGTGAGGGTTGAAAACATAATTTCCACTATTACTTTTCACTTAATTTAATTCCCTATCATCAAGTCTTACATTGAGGTATTAACTCCCATTCACCCTTATTAAGTCATATATTTAAGTTGTTTTTTCATTAATAAATTCTATTAATTAGATACATTTTTAATATAATATAAACCCATCTATTTTAAAACTAACTCATAAACAAAATAATTCTTTAATCCAAGTGGTGACAAAGCAATCCAACCATTCAAATCAAATTGGTTAGCCAATGAAGTCGTAGTTAGATAATAAATTTTTAAAATAAAAATAATATAGATAGAGACTAATAGTTCTACTTGGTCAGAACTATTTTTGTGCACATAGAAATATAACAAAAGTAAGTTTGACATATCAGAATTATTTTTACACACAGAAATATAAAAAATTATAGTAAAAATTTGAACTCATCTACAATTCATATTTTGTAATCTACATCTGATTAATAATCAAATCAAATTCGAATTTAACTCCATCCAATCCCAAATTAAACTTTGAACCTGATTATATTTTAATATTTATTGGTTTTAATATATAAAATTTATATAATTATATTTATAGTTATAAAAAATAATTAACTTTATTGGTTTCAATATGTTATTTATATTAATTTATTATATATAAAAGTTAAAAAGTAATTAACCTTTTATTTTATAAATGAATGCAGATCCAAATTAAAACCAAATCCAATTGGATTCAAATGCAAGTTTTCAATAATTGGGTCGGGTTTGGATTTTGCTCAATCTGATCCGAATCTGGTTCATTTATAGCACTATAAATAGGGGTTCTCTCATATACAACATTTATTCAAAAGTCTAACTTTTTAGGGTATAATATGAACAAGTTTAGTGAAAGATCAAGAGTTGTAAATAAAAGTGACAAAAGAAAATTATTTACCAAGTTTCCTAATTTTATCTATGTAATAACCTAAACACCAAGATATCGATGACTCATTGCCATTCAATGCCTCTACCATCACTTTTGCATTGGAAACAACTATTAACTATTGTCATCCTCTTTGATAAGTAAATTACAAAGTTTTAAAATTTGTTATAAGATCTGCCTCAATTAGCTCTTTAATCAAAGTCACTTTTCCAACTACAACAACAACAAAATTAAAAAAGCTATTATAAATACAAAATCCAAAAGTCCCCTTCTTGTACATATTAATATAAAAACACTATGGTATGGCAAAGATGGAAGGTTTAACATGTTAAACACAAATATGTCAGTATTGGCATTAATATCAGGATTCTGTATATTCATTATTCCATTAATTTTTCGTAGAACCCAATGGGCATTTGTTTTAATATTTTTAAAAACGATGTCATTTCCAACTTTACATATGAGATATTAAACCTTGTTTTCTCTCTATTAAAGGTATTTTTTTCTCATAAATAAATTTTATTAATTAGATCTATATCCAATAGTTTTAATAATATAAAATTCTTATTTAAAAATAACCCAAAAACAAAACCTTCTTTTATCCATGTGGCAAGTAAGAAATTCAACCATACAAATCAAATGGGTCAACCCATGAGGCCATAATTAAATAATAAAAGAATATATATAAAAACAAAAAAATACAAGTTTTATAAAAATTTTTAAATACAATATTATTGCCATTACCATCATATAAATTTGTCATGTGCAAAGCATGTGCAAACTTACTAGCATATATATATATATATATATGGTATAGAATGAGGGCTCTAGTTGCACCAATCAGAATCTAACAATAAGTGGGTCAAGTATTTGGTGCCAAAGGTGGTGCAAATTACATTTGCTGCCATTGACCAGTCTTGTTGATCATGTCTCTCCAATTGGTCAATCTTGTATACATGTTAAATGAATCCAAACATTCTTATGGGCCCTCTAGCCATTAAAATTTTATGTAAAATATTTTTGGAAATTTTAATTAAATAATTAAAATTTATTCCCAATACTCCAAATGGATTACCATATCCATTCATTTGTTTCTTTATATATATATATAATAAAACAATACATGCCATGTCATCATGGCTCTCCTTCCTCTATCTAGGAATGGCAATAGGGTGGGGACCATATTCCTTGTCCCCAACCTTAATTCTTGTTGATGATAAAAATGACCCTTCATCCTCGATTCCTAGTGAAGATGGGTTCCTTGTTGGGAAACCTAAACCCTAGAAATTTTTAAATTAAAATTATTTTTAAAATTAGATTTATTTAAAATAAGGGAAATCAATGTTAGGGTGGGGTGAGGAATTCAGTCTCCCATCTCCACCCCCATCCTTGGTTGGGCATTACTATCAATCCCCATCCCCACCAGCGCAATCTCTATCCTCGACCCAATGGGGTTAGGGAAGCTGAGTACCTGATGGGATGGGGAACATTACCATCCCTATTCATATTCAAAGCCTATTAATTGGTTAATTGCCAGAAAACTATAATTTGAAACCTAATAACTAAAATTAATAAAAATATTAAATTTTAGCAATTTTTTATCTAGCAACTATTAAAAATTAAGAAATTAGTAAAAAAATAGTAGTTCATAAATTAAAAATTAAATATATTTGAATTCTATTTAAAAAACTAATATTAATAGGATAATTAAAATAATAATAAAAATTTTATTAAAAGTAATAAACTAGACCATTTGCATTCTATATAAAAATTAATTAAAATAATAAAACTAATAATGGCCATATTATAAATGTCATACGACTCCTTTTACTTAGGGATGATCATTTATAACT